AATCAGACAGTGAATACTTTACAGCGGCCGCTGCAGTGTGAGCTAACCGGGAGCTAACGGGAGAATAAATTCCCGTGGAAGAGCAGCACTGCAGCGGTCGGTAAATGCCGCTGAAACACATTAATAAACAACGAACCACGGCACTCTGGAGAAAAGTGTAAGGTTGGAGAAATCGTTATTTAATTTAATCTGAATTCGTATGATTAAAAGCAACACGATCATCGACCCGACGCAGTCCCCCATTGTTGTTGGAGTGAGCCCCGTTGGGGAGAAAATCAGTGACGTAAACGGTGACGTCATGACGCAGCACCAGTCAGGCTCTGGGCGGTGGAAACAAAACGGGTGCTGAAGAGAAGAACCAGTTCCGAACCAGAAAAGCTCTAGCACGGAGCTAGAACGGGAGCCGCGTTGGTGTGAAAGCCCTATATGGGATGCTGCAATGATCTGTTTGGTGTTTCAGCCAATCAGAGACAGGCTCTGGATATATCTGAGACCTGTGACATATTGATGAAGAACAGTACAATAGGGGATCTTTAAAGCTTATAAGTTTATATTTCATAACGTCTGGGATCGAACCAACAACCTGCTGGTTGAATGACGACCCCTTTCCCACCCTTACCACATTGAAATGTTGTTGTTGTTGTTGTTGTTGTTGACGTTTGAAACCCAAATTTCACTCCAGCAGGGGTTTCTTTCTCCTCCAGAGGGTTAAACTCACAGACTGTCAGCCAACACCCAACCTCTCTCTCAGCCTCTCCTCTCTGCAGACGGAAAATCAATATCTGCTGAGTGTGAGGAGAGAGAAGAGAGGGAGGAAGGGGAGGAGAGGGAGGAAGAGGAGGAGAGAGAGGAGATCAGCCTCAGGAGGAAGAGAAAAGGGAGGAGACGGTCTGAGGAAAGGCTTTCAAATGTGTCTCAAACGTCCACGAGGTTTCAAAGATAAACTGAGAGGTGAAAGGAAGGTGTGGTCAAAGGTCGGAGGTCAAATCCTGACAGGTGGAGGCACAACACCAACTGTGAGGCGGTCACTTTCTATCGTTGTATAAGATAAGATAAGATAAGATGTACTTTATTGATCAAAATGTGTAACAAACAACGTGCTCATCCACCCTTACGGAGAAAATAAACAACAAACAAACGTATGAGTAGAAAATAATCCAACCACAAACAAACAAATATAGCTGTAGTAATAATTCACGTTGTCAGGTGAAGAAGGGGTCAGAAAATGTGTTTTTCTGCTTTTTTATGGTCCGTTTTTGTCTTATTTTATATTTAATGTATTGTTTTGTTCTGACTGTTTTGGTCACATTTACAATGCCATTACGTGCGAGCATACATGTTTAAACTGTATATTTAAATATGTGTATACATTGGATTCATTCCTGCATTGACCTACAAGTTAAATACAAAGTAGAAAGTGTTTTACTCTTTTTAAATGTTGACTTTTATACAGTTTTTAGATTGTTACATGTTTCTACAGACCTGTATTATAGATTATAATGAGCAAAGTAGCACACTATATTAAGTACATCTGTATTTTCCCACTCTTTCTCCTCTTCTGCAGCATTTCCCTTTGATTTCGTAACAGCTTCCGGTCAAGTTGTGCAGCTTGATGTTTTTCCCCTCTGATCGACCACGTGGGGGCTCGGGATCACGTGACAGTGTGTAAATTCACCACCTTTACACCAAGTAAAACACACACAGTCAGTGAATAGTGGTTTAAACAAGATGGGCTCGGCTCCTATTATAAGCTCTTCTTTATTCTAATGATCGTCTGGGAAATGTGCAAGCTTTTATTTTGGTAGTCAGTCCCGGTGTCTGTATGACAGGGGGATTTTTATTTTTGAAAAACGTGGCAAAATACTATTTAAAACAATGTTGTGGTATTTGTGCTTTATAAAATGGTGTGTTTGTATTGTTTGCTAACTTATACTCCTACTCTATTACATTTAGAAAGCCAATATTATACTTTTAATTAAATAACATTGATTTTGCCACTAGTTAACATTTCTTATTTTATTTGGACTTTTACTTTGTTAAAAACCGGAAGTGCTCTGGCGCGCTCTGTCCAACTGGTCCAACTTGACTCTGTAGAAGAAGGAGGGGGTGTGTTGTTAGCCTGTGAGCTTGTGTTAGCATGTGAGCTAACTCCACTACTTTCACTTTCTGACGGACGGCAGTAAACCCGCTGCATGATGAGAGGGCTTCCTGGAAATCGAAACTAATATCTGCCTCAGTCGTCTTCGCCCTTCGTAAGACCGCAGATGTAGATATTTAACACTCTTTTTCTGCTTATATTGATAACTTTTAACCGTTAAGATTTAGCCGTTTAAACGCGTTATTCCGCCAGCTAGCTTTAGCGGCTAACCGCTAGCATGGAAGGAAGCATGAAGAGCAACGAGGAAAAAGGAGCAGAGAAACTAATGGATGATTATCTGAAGTCTATCGGTCTGCATCGGAAGAAAATCGCCAAGGACGGGTCGTGTTTGTTTCGGGCTGTCGCCGAGCAGGTGAGGGGGTAAAACCCGGAGAAGAGGCTAGTTTATGTTAGCTTCACTTTAGCACTAACTGGTACACAACAACTGGGCTGCGTTTGTTTGTTGTGGTTAACAACAGGCTGGAAATGTCCCTGTAATGCAGCTGGATGAAGACGAACAGACTGTCAGCAGAGTTTACAAGCTTACAGTTAACTTTGATTAACTTTAAACCTGTGTCTGTAACGCAGGTAAAGTGGATTAATGGTGAAGAAGTTCCAGAAACTAGTTATGAAAACATTATATTTCTGTATACTATTTGCAGTAGTGTAATGTAAGTACATTTACTCAAGTACTGTAATTAAGGTACTTTACTTGAGTATTTCCATGTTGTGTACTTTTACTCCACTACATGTATTTAATACCTTTAGTTACTTCTCAGATGTGGATGAATGATGTGCAATCTAATCAAGTGTTAAATCAGACTTTAGTTCCACCTGGAGTAAATCCACAAGCTACCCTGCAGTATACAAAGTCATTCAAACTAGCTGCACCTTCACCAGCTTTGAGAACACTGTGATGTTGATTGTTTGCATTTGTTGTTGTTGATTTGTTTAGGTGCTTCATTGCCAAAGTCTTCACACTAAAGTCCGGGCGAAGTGTGTTGAGTTCCTGAAGGAAAACAGAGAGAGTTACGAGGCCGTGAGTAATAATCTAAAGTGTGTGTGTGTGTGTGTGTGAGAGATAAGGATTTGATCACAGAGCTTCGGCCTTTTTAACAGTTTCTAAATTAAATGAAAAACATATTAAGTTCTTATATAACATATCATGTATTTAAGTGACTCTAAAAGGATACTGAGCTACTGTACATGTATTTAACATTATTTAAAATAAACTGCGTTTGGTAAATATCTTTAAATGCTTTGGTAAATAATTATTGTTTGAAAAAATAAGTATTAAAAAGTATTAACCAACAAAACAGCAGCAGCAGTCTATTCAAGAGAACATTAGAATAAAATGACACTTTAATTGATTTGTTTGAATAAATATGAACCTAAGAATCCTAAATAATCAGGTGAGCGGCTTTTCCTCCAGTTCCTCCTGTTTATCTGATCGTGTTTCACAACTCCGTTTGATTGGGAACTGAAACTAAAAGCTGCTATAACCGCCGAGCTGCACTACATTACCCAGAATGCTTTGCTACTCCCTTTGACTCACAGGCAAACTGGTTCTGACACATTTCACAGACACAGAGGCAGACAAAGGTGTATTACAAAGGTTGATTACAAAACGACGTTTAAAATAAAAAAGGTCACAAGTTGAAAGAATAAAACACATTTAAATAAAACAGAAAAAAGTGAAAATAAAAGTGGAATTTCTGTTAAAATGTCTGTATTTAAGGATGTCAAAATAAAACTCCTGTGTTTCCTGTGTTGCAGTTCATTGAAGGAGACTTTGAGGAATACCTCTTCAAGATTCAGGACCCACAGGTAACTCAGAAATACCTTTTTATTTCTTTCTATATTTCAGAAGATTATTTTGTAATTTCCATTGTTGTGTTTTCCAGCAATGGGTGGGCGAGGTGGAGATCAACGCTCTGGCTGTCATGTACAAGTAAGACTCGTCTCAACTGTCCACACACATTTAGAAATACTGTTGTTTGATGTGTTTCCAAATATTCCAAATAAAAGCAGATCGGTTAGTTAAGATCAAACGAGGATTCTTTTGAATTTCAAGCATTTCTTTCTATACATCTCCAATAAGAAAAATAGTTCTGGATCTACATTACCTGGCCTGTTTGAAACCAACCTCCCTCTTTCTGTATATGTGTGTTCCTGCAGGAGGGATTTTCTGATCTTCCAGGAGCCGGGCAAACAGGCGGTGAACATCACAGACAACAACTTCAAGGACAAGGTGAGAATATCCCAAAAATACACATTATTTATTTTTTCTAATATATTTTCTATTGACATTTGGCAGCAAACAATTAGTGTGTTTTCAAGACATAGTAATGCTATATTTTAAAGGGGACCTATCATGCTAAATGCACTTTGTGATGTCTTTTATATATAAAGATGTGTCTCACGCAGCGTCAGAAAATAAAACCCTCTCTCTTTTCCTCCGTACCCAAATTTCTAAAAACGCGGGAGCAATGGAGCTGATCCGGATTTGCTGCCGATATGACGTAATATCGGTGTCGGACCCACAGAAAGTTGCTATCAGAAACAATGCCTGACGTGTTTTGGACGTAATCTCGTCTTATTTTAAGGACCCAAAATCCGCGTTTCTCTAACAGATGGAACAGAGGGATATGAGGGATGTCTAAAATGCACCATCTGTTTGTATTTTGAGCAAAACACTTCATAGACATGTTTTTATATATATATATCTGAGACCTATATTATATGCCTGATCACTCCCTTTGTCGGTCCGAAATGCCTTCTACACAAAGATAAAAACAGTAAAAAGTAGGAACAATACGAACATTGGGGAGCGATCGGGACTTCACAGTGAAATCATACGTTTGTGCAAATAAAATCTGGCCTATGAGGTTTTACGAAATCAGTCCACTTTCTCCGTCTAATAGTTTACAGTTGGGTGATCTGGTGAGAAACACTTCCTTGTAAGAGCTTTTTTACTCGCCACAGATTTAATAAATATTAGTGTTTTTTAGTCCATTCTTGAGGTATGAGTCCACAAAACAAAGTCTTACTCTCCGTGGGCATTTGGAAATATCTTGTAAGGCAGCGGTTCCCAACCTGTGGTCCGCGAAGGCATTGCAAGAGGGCCGCCAAATAATTTGCAAAACTTTATGATTTGTGTGGAAACATTTAATTATTAAAACATTTTTTATTTTAACCTCCTTTCTCTTTCTTGATCCTCCTTAGCAACGGTCATTACAGTCCTTGACAGCGGTCATTACAGTCCTTGACAACGGTCATTGCAGTCCTTGACAGCGGTCATTGCAGTCCTTGACAGCGGTCATTACAGTCCTTGACAACGGTCATTGCAGTCCTTGACAACAGTCATTGCAGTCCTTGACAACGGTCATTACAGTCCTTGACAACGGTCATTGCAGTCCTTGACAACGGTCTTTACAGTCCTTGACAACGGTCTTTACAGTCCTTGACAATGGTCATTAGAGTCCTTGACAGCGGTCTTTACAGTCCTTGACAACGTTCTTTACAGTCCTTGACAACGGTCTTTACAGTCCTTGACAACGTTCATTACAGTCCTTGAGGTGATCTGATCTACTTGATTTACAACGTGTCACATGTTCTGAATCGACCAATCAGAACTTTATTTAGCCTCCGTATTGTTTAAGGTTGAATGTGGGCCGCGAAAACATTTTTTAGATTCTTAAGTGGGCCCTGAGGTGAAAAAGGTTGGGATCCGCTGCTTTA